AAATCGGCAAGTGCTGGATACCCTCGAGAGCTAGTGGTCGCCATGGGAGACTAGGTGATGTTATCAATTTTAGTATCCATTTCGATTGGAGGGCCTTTATTTGTGATGCTGGGTCTAGAACCCCTAGTCCTCCCTCGTTCTTCTTCCTTGTGACGTACTGCCAGGCGACCTTAGTTATGAACTGCTGTCTGGATGCGTCTCCTGTCCACAGATAGGTTGTGGCATTCTTTTTAAGATTTTTTAAAGCCGTGTGATCGGGATTCCAGAATGCTGCGACATACCACATCATTGAGAAGATGGATGTGTTTAATATAAGGCCCGGCCAAATAGTGATAGGTGAACTTTCTCCCATGCGTTGAGTTTTGTTAACATTTTGGCAAGGAGGCTAGGGGCCATTTCTGCTGCTGCTCCTAGCTCGTCTAGTTGTATTCCTAGCACTCTCATTGGGTTGTTAGGATCTGCCCATGTCATTCCTTCTGGCGTGATCTGCGGAGGTTCGCCGTTGTCGTTGGTTAGCCACCATCCTACAGTTTTTTGCCAGTTAATCCGCATTTCCGACGCTAGCTGATAAGCGCTCATTGCTCTTGTAAGAGCTTCGAAAGAGGAGTTGGTGGCCCTTATCAACACACTAAGATCATCAGCAAAGAGAATGGTGGGGGGGATGACGTAAGTGGGTGAGTTGTCGTCTGAAGTCGAGATGATTCTTTCTATGGAGGGGTCCTTTCTGAGGAAGGACGCTATGGCCTCCATAATGAAGAGGAAGATAGGGGCCGCTAGGGGGTCGCCCTGTCTTACTGATCTTGACATCATGTAGGTTTTTGATATGTGGCCATTGACTTGAACCGCTCCGTGGGCATCCCTGTAGAGGATTTTGACCCATTTTCGAAAAATAGGTCCTACCCCCATTTTCTCCATGCATTGATCTAGGAAATCCCAGTTAACTTGGTCATAGGCTTTTTCAAAATCGAAGAAGAGGATGGCTGCGTTGATCTTTTTATCGTTGATGTATCTTACTGACTCTGCTAATGTCATTATGTTGTCTAGAATGAACCTACCTGGTATAAAACCTGATTGGTCTATGTGGAAGCAGAATCTGGTTATGCTCCTTATTCTATTTGCTAGGAGTTTGGCTAAGATTTTGTAGACTACCGTAAGTAGTGTAATTGGTCTATAGTTCCTAATATCGGTAGGGTCTCCTTTTTTGTATAGTAGTGTGACTATTCCTGTGCTTAGGTAAGGTCCTAATCCCTCGTTGATCCAAGCTGTTTTCACGAAATTACATAATTCTTCTCCCGGTAATGGCCAGTAGACTTGCCAAAATTCTTTGGAAAGACCGTTTAGTCCCGGAGTTTTCCCTGGTTTCATTGAATCTAAAGCCTTTTTGATTTCTTCGTTGGTTAGGGGAGCGTCCAGTTGATTTGCCAAATTATCAGGGATTGTTTTATCCAGATACTTGGAAAACTTCTCCCTCGCCTGAATCACTGATCCTGGAATTGGTTGCTCGGTGTTGGAGGTGTAGAGGTTTTTGTAAAAAGATTCTGCTATGGATAACATTTTCTTTGGGTTTGATGTAAGCCCTTCTTCCCCTCTTAGTTGGTGGATAGCTGCATTTCTAACCCTTGCTTTTATTTTCTGGAAGAAAAACTTGGTCATTTTTTCTCCGTCTTCCCATTCCTTGATCCGAGCTCTCATGCGTAGGCCTTTTGCTTTCCAGGTGCTCCATTTGGCTAATTCTGCTTTAGATCTTGCGAGTAATTCTTCATAGGGTGTTTCTCCCGGATTTTTGATGAGGTTTCTTTCTGCTATGTTGACTGCTGCTTCAAGTTCCTTTATCCTTTGGTTCCTTTTGGTTGCTAATTTCCTAGAGGCTAAGGAGGCTGCTTGAGACAGGTTGGCTACTAGTGCCGGGAAATCTGCTTTGCCCCTGTCTGCGTCTATGCAAACCTCAGATATTTCTACTTTCATCTCTTTGGTATGAAGTAGAGAGTTGTTTATTTTTAAAAAACTATTGCCTTTCTGTAATCCTGGATCGAGGAGTAGGTTTAGGTAGATGGGGGTGTGGTCCAGTCCATTGTGATAGGGGTGTTTTCCAGTCCTATGCTGTGAACTGTGCCTCTAAGTGTCTGGGAAATGAGGAAGAAATCGATTGCAGAACTTGTTATGTGTTGGGATCTGTTTTTCTTTTTATAGGTGTATCTGTGCGCTTCAGGATGTATTGTGCGTAGGGGTTCTATTAAGTCCTTCTCAAGTATTAAGGCATGTATTACTTGGGCTTCTGAGATGAGTGTGTCTTCTCTTCCTCTTTGAGTTGACGAGATTCTATCTCTCTCTGGGTCTAGGGTCGTGTTACAATCTCCTGCCAAAAGGAGATGTTTCTGAGTATGACATCTGGCTGCTATATTATCTATGAAGGTTTGTCTTTTCGAGGGTTCATTAGGGGCTTATATATTAATTAGTTGGAAACTTTCTTCTTTGTAGGAAAAATGTATTTCTACCCATCTGCCTTCTTGGTTGTCCTTATTAACTTCTGAGATCTTGAGTGAGTTAGTTGCTCTTGAGTTTTGACGTATGAGAATAACTGTGCCTGAGGAGCCTATTCTTGGTGATGTAGACCAGTAAGCTGCGTGGACATACTTTAATTTTAATATAATTCTCTTCATTGTTTTTTGATGTTCAGTTGTGTCTGTTAAGTGGGTTTCTTGAAGGCATACTATGTCTGGCGGGTTTCTGGAGTACCAGTTGAGGTATGCAGTCATATTATCCCATTTGTATGTGTTGGATAGTATTGAGGCCATTCCATTAACGTCCCATGACATTACTGATAGCTCAGGTTCACTGGGTTTTAGGGTGTATCTTTTGGTTGTGTGTGAGACCTGTGGCTGGGCTTGTGCCATTGGTAATGCCATGGATGGTTAAGTGTGGGATCGCTTGCTGAGGATTTTAGTAGGTGAGTTAGTTGGGGGTGGTGATCATCTGCTGGTTGTGGCGTGACGTAGTTTTGCGGGCCGCTGAAGCCAGGACTTTCTGCAGGTGCTCCTCCTCCCCCTTTAAGAGGGCATGTGTTTCCACTACCGATGCTGCAACTGCAGCCCTTTCCGTAGGGGCGTCTCCTAACATGAGTCCGTAGGGAATAGCCCTCATCACTTTCCATGGTTTCCATGTAAGGTGGTCATAAAGCTGGGTCTCCATCGAGTATCTAGCCATGAAGGGTCATAGCTACTTCCCAATCCTTGTGTGTTTCGTTCCATCTGTAGGGGATGACTATCCTTTTCCTGCTGTCCTCCTTAGCCTCTAGCCTTGCTGCTGTGAAGATTTCTGTGTTCTTACCTGCAGCCAGGCTTTGCAGATTGACTGTGTCGTCTATTGTGTCCCTGTTCTGGTCTTTGAGAACTGTGATTTGAGCTTTGAGCACTTCTGTTTGTCTGTCCAAGTCCTCTTCTGTGCTGAGTCGGATTCCTTCTTCATCTTGAGACTCCTCCTCTGGGCTGCCCGACGTGATTCCTTGAGCTTTGCCCTTGGATCCTTTGGGTTTTTTGGCTGGTCTTCTGAGGGTCGCTGATGAGTACGACCTTGGCCAGGAGTCAGGATTACCAGCTGTGGAACTTTGGTTGGTGGACCCTGCAACTCTTTGTAATATAATTGTTAATGCTTTGAAGTTTCCATTCCTCTCTCATCCAATTATCTCTCTTGATGTGGTGTGAATTGTGTTGGCAAACTTTCATCTGTGAATTGCATCTGTTTGGGAGTGGAGTCCGATGATTTCACAATTCTGAATACCTAGGGCTGGTCAGCCGCATGATGATATCTCAAGGCCGTAGTCCTTTTGAAAAAGAAAAGGAAAAGAAAAATCATGGTTGCCAACCGGACGTTCGGATCCCGATCCAGACAGTCCGGTGTCTGGTGCCGGGGTCCGGTGTCTGATTTGGAGGGTCAGGTTGGACCCTGATTTGAAGAAATTCGAAAAGAAAAAATGGGGTCCCCAGGCCATTTTCCTGGGCCTGGGAGATCCCAGATAATTGTTGGCGCTGTTTTTTCTGGACCGTCGCCCCAACCGGACTGACCCTGAAGGGCCTGCTGTTGGAGAAGTTCGGAGGGCAGTATCGAGGTGTTCGTTTCCCGCTGGCGGGACGTGGACGAGGTAGTCAAGGAGGAGGGACGGAGGGTGAGTGGGACGCTGGGGGGAGGGCGACGAGGGAGCGGGGTCTGGCAACAGGGCGGGCAGGTGGCAATGGACAGACAGGGAAATCTCTCTCTCTCTCTCTCTCTCTCTCTCTCTCTCTCTCTGTTTTTTTTTTTTTTCCGGTTGTTGAACTTTCGTCGCAGGAGCGAGACGAGGGGGGAGGCCTGGCGGGACGGGGACAAGGATGTAATGGAGGAGGGATGGAGGGTGAGGGGGGGTCTGAGGGGAGGGTGACGTGGGAAGGGGGTCTGGGGAGAGGGTGACGTGGGAGGGGGGTCTGACAACGGGGCGAGCAGACAGAGCTGGGCAGACTGGCAAGCGAACGGTTCAAGTTGGACCACTCCCACAAACACGTGTGTGTGTGATGTGTGCCTGTTTTTTTTTTTTTTTTTACCGGACAACCGGCACTGGCGCACCCAACCGGACTGTCTGGGTCCGGTACATGTCTCTGGTTGTCCGGATGTCCGTGTCCGGGGCAACCATGAAAAAAAGAGTAGGTGAATTAATGACGTGGACGATGAATTGTTTGAAATGAGAAAGTGTTTTAGGACCATTCTCTTTTCCGTTTTATTTAATTTTGTTTGACTTTTTCCAGCTCATGAGGTCCCTCCCTCCCTACCTCAACATTTCTCCCTAGCGCACCCCTACTCCTGCGTCTTAAGGAACACCGAGGACCATCACTCCCTGATAGTTTTGCAGGACAATATTTTATTATTATTGTTCAAATAATTTATTATTGTTATTTTTTGCATTATGGACCTGGTGTAAAGTAGAAATAATTTCTAATTTTCCTTGAAGAGCTGCATACTTCTGCTGACAGAGCAATGAAGGGGATAGCGGAGGAGATGGAGGTGTTTCTCTGTGCTCGACTTCTGGTGGGTGGATGAGCGTGAGCTCCACGGCCGCAGCCATGGAGGGAGATGGAAGTGTTTCTGCGTCTTCTCTCTCTTCTTCCTCTACGTCGTTGCTTTCGGAGTCTCCTTCTTCTTCCTTGTCGAAGGCGACTCTTCTGAATGCTGCTCAATCACTGGTGGAATCAAGCCGGGCGGCCATAGCCGCTCTCCAAAGCGCTGTCCATGAGAAAGGAACTCCCAGAGATTTGGCCAAAATAAGAGTGCTTCAGATCACAGCCGCGGGATTACTAGATGCCTTGTCAAATTTGACGTACAATGCGACAGTGGCGAAGAAGCTGAGCGCAAATGTGAGTAAGTATTTTTTGATGTCCACTTCTCGCCAGTATGCCCCTCCTTTTTTTGGCCTCCTGAGCATCTTTTTCTCTCACCTTGTTATGCTGCATGGTTTGGCCTTTTCCCGCGTGCTCCGAAGTGCCTAAGTCTAGTGCCTTTAAGATGTGCTAAATAGTCGATGCCTGTTTGTATGGAGTGCCTGTAATTATCGATTCCTTCTTTTGTGTTTTCTCCTATGTGTCTTTTTTGTGTTGTTGTCCACTTGCTGCATGGTTTGTTCTTTTCTCCATGTGCTTCTAGGTTTCCTAAGTCTAATGCCTTTAAGGTGTGCCACATAGTCAGTGCCTGTTTGTATGCAGTGCTCGTCACGCTGTAAGGGGGGGCTGCTGTGTTTAGGGTGCATGTTTTTTCTATGTTCAAGTGCTGACAAGCATTCGTCTTGTGGCTTCCTAGTTCTCATTGACGGCGTGAACCTGCGGACTGCAGGGTTTTCCGTATGATGTGAAAAGGAGATACTCTGCGGTGATCCTCAGCTGATTCCTCGCTCTGTCCATGGGTTTGTATGTTGCTGCGTGCTTTGCTTCGTTGGTGGTGAATCCCTGCCGACCCGCCCACCCGCCCACCTGCGCACCTGATTGCCCTGCTATGTGTACATTGTGTTGCATGCCTTGCTGTGTTGTTGTGTGCTGGCTCTCACGCCTGCCGGGGCTTGCCTTGCCATGTGCTGCATGAGGCGTGAGGTAATCTGACTATATGCTGAAACCTCTGAGTAACTGACACAAACAAACTGATGAATATGAATGTGTTGGTGTGAACGATCAGCAGGGAAGGAGGTCTTAGTATGACCATAAAGCCTAACTGTAAATTGTCTATACCACCATGCCATGTTTCCTATTTTTGGTTCCAACTGTGCGAGCTTCAGAGGCTCGATAGAGGCCTTCGTCAACTCGTGCAAGTGTCAAGCCTCTTGGGATAATAAAGTAAGGTATTGTTTTAGACATCTTCTGAGTCCTTTCATATTTGAAATAAAGCTATGAAACTACATCTTTCAAAAAGACGTCAACATTCGGCGCACTTGACAGCCATTTGGTCTAATCACTTAGCTACCTTCATGATACGACAGCCTGGCTTATGTAAAATCAATCAAAAATGTAAATCACAGTAGGATGGATGGATGTATTATGTAGATATATTGTCACATAACTATGAACTAAAAGAGCACACTTTGCGGAAAAAAACAGTAAAGATATTTTAAAAAAAACAAAGATGAGGGGCACACTGAAACTATTCATTTTTCTCATCCTTCTTTTAACTCCCCCTTCACCGTGCCTCTTACGTACAACGCTCGCCACGTTGATGAACGTATCAACGAATGTGTGTATATCTGCATCTATCCTACTGCAATGACTTGCTGATTTTAACCGCCAAGACTGACGGCGAGGATGTACAGTACAGCGGTAGGTTAGATTCGTAAATTTTGTTTGGCTGAGGGCTAACCGAGAGACCTACCTGTAAGGAAAATTCGTGAGGGGCATATCTGCAAATATGGGAAATATACGCCCTGCACCACCCTTCCTACAGCTACCCTAACTGCGTGTAGCAGACCCGGGCTACCCCTAGGACGGACAGGCCCGAAGAGGCCTATACCGATAGATGGTCCTATAGCCTATAGCCGGGTAGGGAGAGGCCAAGAGGCCGAAACTGGAACGGTACCGGTCGGTCCAGTCAGTCGGGTCTAGGTCTAGGCTAGGGTAGTGTAGTTCTATTAATAGTTTGGGGAAATCGATTCAGGGCTTTTGGCATTTCATTTTCACGATACAGCGTTCGGAGCCAAGCAAGTTTGTGAGTGGTGATTGTCTACAGGCGGCATCCTGAGACCCTCACCGTGGACGACAGCCATAGCCAGCCTACCAGGGTTTGCCATAGCTGAGGCAACCCCTGCGCATCTATCCCTGAGGGTATCTGCGATTGGCTGGGCTGTGTAGAGGCTCTTCACTGAGCGTATGTGGGTGGACCACTGTCGCCCTTCGTTCCTCAGAGTCTGCCAGGGCTTGTCAGTGGTGTGGCAGCCATAGCTGCCATCTTCTTCGTCAGAGTTACTCATTGGCACTGAAGACTTCATCGCGATTCATGCTCTTCATCTGGATGGTTGGCGCTGGCCTCTGGGAGGCAGATTCAGTGTTGCGCTACTAACTGGGTGTGGGATAGAGAGTGTGGTGTGTGGAGTTCTGAGAGTGGCGAGACACTGGGATAAACTCTGTAACGATTATTGGTTTGATTGGCTTATCATCAGTGTGATTCTGATTGTTATCCTCGCAGGTGTCTTCTTGTGATTGGTTGTTGGGAGTTTGTCAGAGAGTGAGAGTCACTGTGTGTCTTCTCCCCATCTGTGCATGGTTGAATTCCACTGCTTATCTTTGTCCGTGTGCAGTTTAGACTCTGTCTCCTCTCCCCTTTGCCTGGTATGTGTATGAGCATGTGTCAGACACCCTGTGTGTGAGTGGAGAAAAATCATCAGACAACCAAGTTCATAACACTACTATCTATGTATGTATGCATCCATCCGACTATTTATGTATGTATGCATCCATCCTACTATCAATGTACGTATCTATGTTGGAATGGATGGATGGATGACTGCGGTCACAAAGAAAAAAACCTGCGGCTGTCAGATCGCCAATCCGACGGACCGATTGACAAAGGGTAGGCCACCTGGTAATCGGTGGGGTGATGAAAGCTAGTAGTGGAGCTTAAGCTTTGGTTTGTGGGGTAGCTGGTAGTGCAGTTACGGCTGGCTTCAGGGGTAGGATTGTTGTGACCCAAAGCAACGAATGGGGATTGTGCAGACTGTCCAGGAGTCCGCCTCCTGATGAGTTGATGAGAGTCCCATTGCAGACCTTTTTCACTGGGACTCCTCACATTCTCATGCACAGAGAGAGAGAGAGAGAGAGAGAGAGAGAGAGAGAGAGAGAGAGAGAGAGAGAGAGAGAGAGAGACAGACAGACAGACAGACAGACAGACAGGCAGACAGATATACAGAAAGACAGACCGACTGACCGACAGACCAGACCGACCGACAGACCAGACCAACAGACCAACAGACCGAAAGACTGACAGACCGACCGATCGACCGATCGACCAACAGACAGACAGACAGACCGATCGACCGATAGACAGATAGACAGACAAACAGACAGAGTCTCAGGGAGAGAAATGTGTGTGTGTGTATGTAAGAGAGAGAGAGAGAGAGAGAGAGAGAGAGAGAGAGAGAGA